TGATTGAATATAAAAAATATAATTTGCATTGTATAAATTCACTTTTTTCCAAATCCTACATGCATTTATTAAATTTGAACAATGTTTGTAAATCCCAGGCCCTGACGATGATCTCAATAAAGATCGAAACGTTGACACGATAAAAAAAATGTTTTTCTGAAACTTAGATCACACCAGACCGCATCTGACGATTTCTCAATAATTCTTAAAATAAAGATGTCATCAAATGCCCGGGGGAGGAACTCCCAAAACAATATCACAAAGTGCGCATTACTACAAAAGACAAATTTAACGTTGTGGACGGTAAAACAGGAGCTAGCATGAGATTATCTTATCTCTTTAAACGAAAACTGATATAATATGCCTACCTACTCCGGACCTTTTTACATTTTCGTCGAAGGCATTGATTTAAACGCCAGAAATCAACATCCTATGAAATTAGGAAAACTTTTATCGTTTATACAGTTAGTTATAGTTTATATAGTTAAATTTGTAGTTAATAGCTAAGAACGTTCAGTTTTGTTACAGGTGGAATAGACTAAAAATTGAAACAAACTATTATGACTCTTCTAATGCTCTCTGCTGTCTGGGCTGTACGAGACAGGTTCACTGTGGACTTTCTCGTCGTGCTCATGTTGAAGAAATACGAGGGGCTGAAGCCTTTCTGAAAAAAAGGTGATTGTTGTCTATGTTCCCGGGACGTCCTACCCTCCAAACCGGACCATCGCGATCCCCCCCTCTGACGCTAAGCACGCAATGAAAAACATGTTAAAAGAAAGATGGCAGCATCAATGGGCGGGTCGTTGGAGAGGTTCTTGCGAGTCAAGAGCGACTGGTAGATGGCCCTCAGAGAACCTGAGCAGCAGACGAGGGATCGTCCTCACCCGATTGAGGATTGTAGGGAATTGAAAAAAAATGTCTCGTCTGAATTTTCCACGGACTAATTATGAGCAGGCGTTAAATCGTCTATTCCTGATGCAAATATTAAGGGATTTACCAAAAAATCTCAAGACGAGAATGGAAAATTAAGGAACTCCGAACAAGGGTCGACTGATTTGACCGCGAGTGTCGAACCAGTTTAATAGTCACACGCACAACCAGCATAAAACCTCTGTCCTCACACGAGCGCGCCTGATGTTTGAGACGAAATGGAGTAATATGTCAAGTAGTCCAGACGAAGAAATCGTAAATGCCTATTATCAATGCCGCAGAATACGTAGAACAATACGAAGGGAACTTTAGTGCCATTTTTACATAGTGATGTATCCAGCTAGGAGTTGTATAGAATATGACCTACTCAGATTGCTGACAAATCAGTAGAATAAACAAAAATCCAACTCAGTAAAACATCGATAACATGATCTTTCCCGAAACAAGATACAAAAAGATACAAAGGGGCTTTTGGAAGTGTAGCAAGCAAAACAAGCGCAGAGGCAGCCACAATACGCAATCCGCTGGCACTGGAGTCACAGCCACGTTCAGCAACAGATGCAGCAGCAAGTGGTGATCAGTTTTGTGCTAGTAGAACGATGACTGCCTCTTCGACTTCTTTCAACCATGTGATCAACCACCTTTTATACCGAGGCGGCTTTTCAGATCCGAGAAGAACCCTTATACCAAGTACCAGTAAGGAGTCGGTGTATGAGTAAGAATATGGGTTGAGCGATGCGCATAATAGGGAGGGGGACCAAATGTTCTCAAATCCATTTTTAATTTTTTTTTTTATCATAATCCGTTAACTTTTTGTTCAATTTACAAATGGCCGCCTGGTGGCTTGCCGTGAGCGCTTGTTCCGCTGTGTCAAGACGATGTGAACTTGCAGGTACGTGGAAGTTACTGATTGAAAACAGTCGAAGAGACGTTCACACATCTTTCAATTTTATTTATCTTTTTTTTTTACATAAAATTAAAATTCAGATAGCTAAACATTAAGCTGATGGTAATAAACACAGGTTTTCTGTCGATTTTATGTAATTACAAAAAAGGTCAGTAACATTCAGTACAAATACTGTGAGAATTCCCATAAAATAAATTGTCATTACGTAATGTTTAACAACGTATTGAACGATCACACACATCTTTTAAATTTTAGCAAATTATGGGTTATAGAGCTTTATAATTGACGGTTGCCAATTTTAAACGAATTGGCCAGCATAAATCACGAGGGGGGGGACGTTTTGAATTTATCATGGTCTTCAACAACACTATCTAACCCTGGCGAGAATATACGACCAGACAGAAAGTATGAGGCAAGATAGTCGTGACGTTGATTAATAAAGGGTTTCATCATCATATTTTGATCGTATCCGTAATTGTGATTGTTTTGGTTTAAACTAAGCCCTTTTGTTATCCGTAAGCGGGCCGTTTGTTAAGGAAATGATCTCCGGTCAGAGGAGACCTGAAATGTAAATTTCGGGAGTGCATAAAGGGCCTTTGCACATAGTAAAACCGCAGACATTGTTCAACCCGCATATTTGAACCGTTGTGCTCCTCCCCCTTAATATTTAGAAGTTGATTTATAACCGACCCACGACTGACATTCCGCTATAAAAGAAATGCTTCATATTAGAAAATTATTGCTGCATAAAGAATAATAAATTTTATCTACCTGAATAATAATTCCAAGCTGATTTCAAAATTAATAAAATAAACGTAAATTTATAATTATTCAGAAATCGTGAGATGCGGTCTGGTGTGATGTAGGTTTCAGAAAAAACGTTTTCTTTATCGTGCCAACGTTTCGATCTTTATTGAGATCATCTTCAGGGCTCAAAGTGTTTGTCTTCTGTGTAATTGTATTCTTGCGTGTCGTGTTGAGAGTGCCAAAGTAAATTTATAATGGCTTACTATAAGCAGAGACTAGAAATTAATTGAATACAGGCAAACTACTGAAGATGGCGTGAAGTGCGCTTAAAAAAAAATTGGTTTTCTCAGAGAAACGGGCACAGTTAAAACCAAGCAACTACTGTCATGATAAATCACATCTCATCTTGATTGACACCATATCAATCCAGAAAATCAGTATTGTGTCAAAACAATTTAAAAAATTGTAATTTTAGTTAGTCCTATAGTTATTTAATGTAATTTTCGTTTTAAATAATCGTTGGCTGTACGCTCGTGAGGAGAGATTATGGGTTGGTTTCATAATAATAGCAATTTTTCATGCATCAAAAATTCATTTATGGGCCAAAAAATGCGCGCTTATTTCTTTTTTTAACAGGTTTAAATGATAATCGAAAATTTTTTGAAAGATCAAGCAAGCTAATCTGAATAAAAAGCGAAAACTCCCTGGCCTACAAAACCGCACGCTCTTGAACAGAAAATATAACCTTATTAATGATGTAAAACAAATTTGTTTGTCACATTTTACATTTTTATAGTGATATTTGGAAGCATAAATAATTATATATTTTATAAATATCCGATATAACCATTTCAACGGAAAATAAACTATACCTCAAATGAGCGTAGTTGTTTATATTTCGTGAAGTTATATTGATAGACTAATTTATGTAATTATGTATAATGAATAAATTGAAAAACGACTAAACAAATCATAAAGTTATATTTTTTAAGTATGGTTCCATTCTTCGTAGAGGCCTTTAGACAGGTGAAGAAAAAAAGACTAATTGTTGTGTTCATCGAGCATTCAGCACCTTATAGTGTCATCATCAGAATCTATTTTATTACAAATTAAAATAAATACACAGGAACATACAATTAAAAATTAATGTTATAAAATGCTATACATACTTTCTCAAGAATGAAGAAAAACTATTAACACGAAAACGATTGTAAAAGCGTTTTGGGTTTAAGGTTATGGAGACATGGTCAGCATACTACATTTTTGACGGNTATAAATTTCAACGAGCCAATTTTTTAGGCCAGATCTATATTAAAATTTGAGGATAATGAAAAATAATAGTTTTTATATTTAAAAAAATCACTCGTTTTATTTTGCTATTTTCCAAAAGATGAATTTATTGAATAATACTAAATTTTAGAAATGCTGCTTTTCTGGTAAATGGGGTTAAAAACAGAAACCAATCAAATGACTTGTGCATTTTCATTAACTAGTTAAAATTTGATTAACTATTTTCTGAAACTAATAAAGTTTAAAACCTACCCATAAATTCACCTCTTTTTAAAAGAACAACGTAAAATATTTGGTTTTAACAGAGAAGGATTTGTCCCAGTATAATCCGATATCACCAAAGGAAGCAAGTCAAAATAAACGCGTTAAAGAGAAACCCGTCAGCAGAATGACTTGATAAAGAGATCAATCGGGAAAGAGAAAGCGAAAATACAACGTCAAGGATGGCTTCCCGGCCAGAAATCTTTTCCTCCCTTTATCACCCTATCTGTTACTAAATTTCTCAACTCTCTCCCTCTCATCCCAGATATTCATAATGAAGTGTTAATTACAAAGACGAAATTAATTTGCGATATTAATTTATACTGACTTTGGACATAAAGCGAAGGGGATTTTCTCTTGCAAAATAATTTACTTATTTCAACAACGGATTTTTCTTGTTTAAATTATGGCTTTAGGGCGTGGTAAAACTAATTGGGAGCAATGGCCCAAGGGTATTTTACCCAAAAAATTCTTGGCAGTAGAATTTTTAAATCGCCGTCCTGTAGAACAACTTATGTATGAATTAATGATGCCTTTATATTCTACATAAAAATGACAACTAAAAGTGGAATGGTTGTGAAGTTCGTCTTAATAACGAATTCAGCGTGAATTAGCGACTAGAATAACTGATCTGATCTACTTAATCTAGATCTCAATTATCTGATAGTAAGTGCCATAAAAATATCCAAAAACTGGCAGTTCCTGATTTTTTTCAGTTGCAAGCAGGTTTTATGATTTTTTTAAATTAATATCATATTATTAATTTTAATATTGGGGGCTTTTTCTCGTCTCTGATCCTCTCGGATCGACCAAACCGCCGAGCCCATGCGGACCATTAATTAAAGCATTTCTTTTTCTCTTGCAGATTATATCGCTAGATACGGTAGAATGACGGAGAAAGGTGCCAGAAGGAAGTTCTGGCAGATCCTGTCGGCTGTGGAGTACTGTCACAACCGGCGAGTTGTTCACAGAGACCTTAAGGTAACCTGAATACTAATTTTATATTAAGTACAGTTAAAAATTTAAAATAGTAGTTCACGCTTTATCGTTTAAGCTCTTGCTTGTCAGGCTCTTTATAATACAATTTCGCCGAATGGGAGAAATTATTTAGTAGTTAGTCATTTCACTTATCTCGGTGACAAACGTCCACTATTTCTCTAGATGACGACTGTAATTTTACAAAAACACAAATATGCCTGAATTCCGTCATAATTTTCATTACCCCGCAGCCCTTGGTTTAAACCATGTGTTATTTCTTCGTATTTCAACCTCAGAATTCATGGATTTATGTAGTAGAGGAACACATGAAAATGAAACTTTGGAAAAACGTACTTATTTTTCCCATCAATAGGAGCGGATGGGGAAAAACAGAGCCATCACTGAAACTGGTGCCGAAATGCGAAATAACGAGGAAATGCAAACCAAAATGATCGGTAACGAGTAAACTGTTGATTGAACAACGAAGGTTTTGTTGGCTCTGTTTCAGCTTTTTTACAATTCAATTCAGCTTTAAAAGCTAAATCACAAAAAAAAGGTCAGTTTTATTTTTCAGTGCACATATATTTGAAATCATCGCTCGATTGAATAATTTTAAACATTGGCAAAATTGATTTCTCTTAAAAAGATAATTCCTAGCAGACGTGTGCTAAAGAAAGCACCTACACTTCGGATTGGCGTAAACAGTAGTGTATATTGACGTAGCCGAATGACGTCGAAACGGCTACGCTCAATAGAAATAGCTAGAATTCCTCACTTAGCCCAATATAATCTAATTTGGCAATTTAATTAACCTTGGCTTCTTAAACTGATTATATGGAAAATAATTCAAGAGTTAAACACTTCCTATTGTTTCGACTCAAATATGAATCGTACGGGGTAATGAACGCCGTTAATTTTAATTCAGTCGTAATTGGCCCGCTTGTCAAAAGCTCGAGATAAACAAATAACATGCACATAACTTATAAAAAAATAAACAACTCGAAAGACTATTGATTTGGATTTTTTCTTCTAGTACAGACCTTGTCCGATTCATTTTATTACTCTACCCCGTTTATAAGCACTTTAAAAAATATTGTCCAAATATAAACCAGAACAAATTACATTTTAAACTAATAAAACATTTTCACCTATTAATTAGTACCAAGAGATTTATTAATTATTTAACTATACGTAGAGAAAAGCTTTTTAAATGGTCACTAAGCGGACTTTTTATTTTAAAAATTTATCGAATGTTTAGTAACATTTACGTTAATTGTAAAAACTTGGATATTAGTAAAGATTATAAGGAGATTTTTCTTTCTGATGAACTTAGTAAAACAACTTGCTGCCCAACAACTTAAAAGGGGAGGACCGGGTTGATGTGTCACGGATTTGGGCCAAACTTTTTTTTTGGTGATTCTACACTCCAAAATATTGGACATGTATCCACCTCTTCTTGCAAATAAGCCTTAGTTTCGCCAGTTTTTTAAAAATATTTTTATTTCGCCGTTTTACATGTTCAATTCAAATATGTGAACATATCATTTTATAGGATTTCTTTAAGAAGATTGCAATAAAAATATAGAGCTAACTAAAACTAAATATTTTTCAAGTTATCTAGATCATATTTTTTTCGGTGAAACTACTAAAAAAATTTCATTTTAGCATTTCTTGAGACCCCTAAATACAAATTTTTTGTTAATTTAAATTTATTTATTTTTTGACAGTTAAAATTTTTTCGATTTTTTAAAAATCGTTATTGGGATATCTGATTGAAACGGTTAAAAATTAAAAAAGGCTAAAAGAAATTAATTTCAAACATAGCATTGGAAAGTTGAGGAACGTAGCATGTTAACGACATATGTACCATAAAAATATATAAAAGATTTCTATAAGAAAATACACAAAATAGGAAACTTATTGGTCAGTAATTAACCTAATTTTTTTCAGATAGATATAATAGTCCGATTTTAACGTTTGATACGGTTATAAAATGAACTCAACCATTTCTTTAAAACGAATTATCAACCATGAAAATCGATCCACTAGATTTTGAAAAAAAATGAAAAAATAATATTATTAGGTATCTAAACGAAGGAGCTAGAATCACAACAATCACAACGTTTTGACTATTTTCTGACCTATTTCGCTTACAGAATTTGTTAAAATACGCAAAAAACAGGTTTTAGTAGATTTATCTTTTCAAATCATACCATTTTATATTCTGCGTTTCTTTTTATTTTTACTTTGACCAATAATGAATTATTACACGAAAAATCACATTTTATAAATAACGATTTACATTCATTTAATTTAATTTACTGTATACTTATAATTTTTATTAATATTTTCATTTATGCAATATAAATAAATAAATTATTTCAACCAGAATTATATTTGGTTCCTGCTGTTTCAAAATTAATAAATTTTAATTTTGTTGAGAATGTGGTGGAGAGTTTTGCTCAAATGTCATTTTCATGAAAAAGCTGATATAAAAGCAGGACTTTGAGAATCAAAACTCAAACCACAAAAAAAAACATACTCATATTTATAAAATAATGTAAAAATACAAATTTTATATACAACATTGTTGAAAACCTAATTCTCCAACTATTTAAATATCGGTTTACAAACATTAAGTTTAGATTTTTTAAAAAGGTTGTATGCTTTTTTATTAATAAGAAAACTTGATATTATGTTTAGTTTAGTAATTAACAAAAGTTTGGTCTCCACTGACCTCAATAAATGAGACTAAAATTTGAACTGATTAGCTGATCAAAAAGACAAATCTCATACCGAGCCAGAATTTCATATTTGAGGTCATAAAAATAGCTATAAATATTCAAATATAAGGAGAAGAGGCTCGCTAACCATTGACCCTTAAAATATGAAGAAAATGGGTCAAATTGACGTAGAAATTAGAGCCCATCAACGAGATCTAAAAAAATCGGGCTGGACCAAAATGCCACGACTGAGACAATAAAAACCCCTATAAATATCTCAAATAGTCAGATACATGTCACACTGGTCATCATCAATTATCATTCGAATAAAATTGGTATAACTGGGGTAAAGCTCACACTAGGCCAGAGTACGGTCTAAGTTAATCCTATCTAACACTTTAAACTAGAGCAGACTGTCAAGACTAAGACAATAAAAAATATTTATAAATATCTCAATAATGAACATAAACGTCTCACATTATCTAACCATTAAGTACTAAATTTCATTAAACTATCACATGACGAAAATGAGACAAACAGACATAAATATGGACGGAGTAGAAAAGAAAAATCTCACACTGGACTAGAATGTCGTCGGAGACAATAAAATAATATTTGTACGTATTCAAATAGGAAGACAATAGCCTAACTCTCGTTTCACATGCAAAGATTGGGATTACCAGTGTCTATTTCATAATAATTTTCAATCATCATTAAATTATCAACTGTAGAAAATTGGTGAATTGGTGATTTGAACGAAATTTTAAACTGATAACTGGATAGAAACTAGCTGTCTGTCAAGAAGCGGCATAAACATCGCAAAATGTATATTGGAAATCCCATTGCGATGTCGCCATTTTGTAAAGAACATTTAGTTCAATAAAAACAACAAAGTGGCGCAGAAGAAAGTATATCTTAAATTCCTAAAGGTCACTGTGGACAGAGAAAAATCACATATAATTAAAAAAATGGACCTGACATTCTCACGATTGTTTAATTTACTACAGTGACATTCAATTAATTTCAACCTTGTTTGGTTTCAGCAAATCTAGGTTGGTTTTAATTAGTCTCTCTCAGTTTTGCCTCTACATTTGGACGTGCATTTATGATTTCCGTATAATTAGGCATTATTTTTAGTTAATTATTCGTTATTTTAACCATCTTAAATCATTTTTACCAAATGTCTAGAACGTTCACTGGTTTAGAAGGTCCAACCCTGAATAATTCGTTCGGCATCACCCGAAATACAGGCATTGTGTTGTTGCGTTGTCATGGAGGAAAACGATTCCATTTCTATTCATTAATGCAGCCCAGTTTTCCTTGATAGCTGCATTTAGTTTCCGAATTGGGAGAAGCATTTGATGGGGTCGACCCTTATCCGGAAGATTTGCCTACTGAAGGGCCCACTAACTACAAAACATCTTTGGTCATATATTTTCGGAATTTAACCATATTCTTGCTCTTCTAAATAATGAAGTGAAATGCGATCTTGTAACTTTTGTCCATTATCGATTAAATTACACTAAATTCAATAAGTACAGAGAAGGGCTAATATAGTAAACTTTGTCAATTATAGACTACACTTGCGATTATTGGATTTCACTAAAGGTCGATATAACCTTATGATGGCAAACCTAGTTTGGCGCTGTAATCAGAATCAATTTTTTTTCTTTCCTCGTAGTTTGTTAAATTATAGATAAAAATGCAGGGCGACTTTTTCTCTGAATATTTAAACTTTGCTTTTATACTTTTTTTTAAGTTTCAATTTTGTTTTTCCTTTGTTTAAGGAACAAAAGAAATTATTCGATGGGACTCGTGCTCGTGAGAAGGTTTATGTTGTGTTTTATTTGTTCTAAGTGAATAGCGATTTGCAGTTGACCCAGTTAGGTAGAAAGTGCACGGTTTTTTCTCTTTGATCCCCCGTTTAAAAACAATTACAATACAAAGGAAATAGCAATTTAGAAGAAGTAATAGTCTAAACATGTTTAAACTATCCTCAAGTAACAATCTGAAGTGCGTAAAACGAAGTGATAAAATTCATAACTTTGAAGTTTAATCCGCGAGAAGTTATCTGATGATTTTAGCATCTGATCAGTTGAGCTAATGAGAGGGTTATAAATTTTTAACGTAGCACTTTCATCTACATTTAATATTTATCTGTAGAAATAATTAGGTTGAATAGTAATGATCTATCTATAGAAATATAATAAAATTTAAATCGTTTCATAGTAAAAAGTACATAAAACAGTAAGTACAAAGTCAAGCTCTAATGCTTTCTCA